CTTTAGATAAATATTTTTTCATTAAGGCCTCACATTCATGATAAATAACAAATTAGTAACTCATAACAGATCAGCATCATTTTTTCCTGGACGCTGTAAAAAGAGGGAAAACTAAAAATGATTATTGCTATGTAACACTGCCATATGCACATCAACAATACTCTTGGTCTTAATAAACAGGTTTATCTAAAGGTGGTATTTTTTACAAAGAGTGACATGCACAATTTAAGCCACAGATTTTGCAGACATCAGGCTCCTTAACCCCACTCCCCCTTTTTGGTAGATTTCTCTAAAGCAGCCTTTTTCAAACGGGGTGCCACCAGAGGTCGCCAGAGGTGCTGTCACATGAGACCGCACTCCCCGATCCCCAGCTGGACTGTAAATCGCAACTGGGAGAGCTTGGTCAGACTGTAGTTACGCCTAGGAAAGTGAAAGCAAGAGAGAGCGGTCTTGCGAGTGTGAGCTCTGCTCTCTGCCTCCAACAGTGCAGTACCCGGCAGAAAGAAAAAAAGGTACATAACTGCTGATTTTAAAAGGATACTTCTGTGTGTGGTGTGTGTTTATATGTGTATGTGGTGTGTATGTACTGTATGTGTGTGTTTATAGATACATGTGTGTGTATGTACTGTGTGTGTGTGTATACAGTATACTGTATGTGTTTATATGTGTATGTGGTGTGTATGTACTGTATGTGTGTGTTTATATATACATGTGTGTGTATATGTGTATGTGGTCTGTATGTACGTGTTTATATATACATGTGTGTGTATATACTGTGTGTATATACTGTATGTGTGTGTTTATATGTGTATGTGGTGTGTATGTACTGTGTGTGTTTTATATATAACTTGTGTGTGTATGTACTGTGTGTGCGTGTATTACTGTATGTGTGTGTATTGTATGTGAGTGTGTTTATATATGTGTGTGTATTTACTGTACGTGTGTGTTTCTATGTGTAGGTACTGTGTGTGTGTGTGTATGCACTGTATGTGTATGTTTTATGTGTGTGTATGTACTGTATGTGTGTGTTTATCTCCACACATGTGTGTTTATCTCCACTCCACACATCACCATGCCAAAGCCACATGCAATGAACACAGTTGCAGAGTGGTTGCAGAGCAGCCCCATTCACCTGGGGGTATACTTCCAGTCGCAGCCACACATGTGTACACTCCTAGATGCTGCCTCTACAAAGTGGGAGAAGTTGGGGATGGTAAAAACGCATCTGAAGTGTGTGGTTTTACCACTCTCCAATCTCACATGTGAACAAGCCCTTGGTTCACATCTGTGTGGCTGCGTGTAGGGTAGCACATTCATATCAATGGGCTGCCCTGCAGAAACACAGGGAAATAATTCCCTGACCCTTTCTTTTTAAATCGTGCTGCAAACCAGGGACGGACTGACCACCAGGACGGACTGGCAAGGACACAGGGGCCCCATGATTCCCTATTGCCCGGGGGCCCCATGAGTTGTCAGTCCTCCCCTGCTGCAAACTCAACACATTTGCCAATAAATGGGGGTACCATTAAGAATTAATGATATCCTTGCATGTCTGCTAAAAAGCAATAGGTTTGTCTATGTGTCAGAAACGTGCATGCTTTTTTGTGCATTCTGAAGTTCGCAGTGATGTGAAGCAAGCCTTAGACTGGGGTTCCTCAGGACTGAAAATATACTGCTCAAAAAAAATTAAAGGAACACTTTTTAAAATCAGAGTATAATATCAAGTCAGTTAAACTCCTGGCATAATAATCTGGCCAGTTAAGTAGCAGAGGGGGTTGTTAATCGGTTTCTGCTGCTTTGGTGTTAATGAAATTAACAACAGATGCACTAGATAGGAAACAATGAGATGACCCCCAAAACAGGAATGGTTTTACAGGTGGAGGCCACCGACATTTTTTTCCCCACTCCTCTTTTCTGACTGTTTTTCACTAGTTTTGCTTTTGGCTAGGGTCAGTGTCACTAACGGTAGCATGAGGCGATACCTGGAACCTACAGAGGTTGCACAGGCAGTCCCACTCCTCCAGGATGGCACATCAATATGTGCCATTGCCAGAAAGTTTGTTGTGTCTCCGAGCATAGTCTCAAGAGTATGGAGGAGATTCCTGGAGACAGGCAGTTACTCTAGGAGAGCTGGACAGGGCCGTAGAAGGTCCTTAACCCATCAGCACGACCGGTATCTGCTCCTTTTTTGCAAGAAGGAACAGGATGAGAACTACCAGAGCCCTACAAAATGACCTCCAGCAGGCCACTGGTGTGAATGTCTCTGACCAAACAATCAGAAACAGACTTCATGAGGGTGGCCTGAGGGCCCAACGTCCTCTAGTGTGCCCTGTGCTCACTGCCTAGCACCATAGAGCTTGATTGCCATTTGCCATTGAATACCAGAATTGGCAGGTCTGCCACTGGTGCCCTGTGCTTTTTACAGATGAGTGCAGGTTCACCCTGAGCACGTGACAGACTTGACAGGGTCTGGAGAAGCCGTGGAGAACGTTATGCTGCCTGTAACATTGTTCAGCATGACCGTTTTGGTGTTGGGTCAGTGATAGTCTGGGGAGGCATATCCATGGAGGGACACACAGACCTCTACAGGCTAGACAATGGCACCCTGACTGCCATTAGGTATCGGAATGAAATCGTTAGACCCATTGTCAGACCCTACGCTGGTGCAGTGAGTCCTGGGTGTCTCCTGGTGCACGGCAATGCCCGGCCTCATGTGGTGAGAGTATGCACGCAGTTTCTTGAGGATGAAGGAATTGATAATATTGAATGTTTCGGTCCATCCAACACCGCCAGGTTGTACCTCAGACTGTCCAGGAGCTCAGCTGTGCCCTGGTCCAGATCTGGGAGGAAATACCCCAGGACACCATCCGTCGTCTCCTTAGGAGCATGCCTCGACATTGTCAGGTATGCATACAAGGACGTGGGGGCCATACAAACTACTGAGTACCATTTTGAGTTGCTGCAATGAAATTTCAGCAAAATGGACTAGCTTGCTGCATCATTTTTTCACTTTGATTTTCGGGGTGTCTTTGAATTCAGTCCTCTGTAGGTTGATAATTTTAATTTCCATCAAACGATGGGACATCCTTATGTTCCTAATACACTACCCAGTCCATATCAGTATAGATATCCAACATGATATTTGTCTCCATTGAGATCAGATGTGTCTTCAAATTGTTCCTTTAATATTTTTGAGCAGTGTACTTTTCAAGGGCTTCCTGACTGGAAAAAGGTTGAAAAACACTGCTCTAAAGGATACCTTTACTGAGAAATTATGAAAACTGCCATTGCTTTCCTCTCCTTCAGAAAATGCTGGTTATCTGGATGCCATGCTGATCCAGAATAATCCAGATCTGCATGCTTGTCTGAGTCAGTGGCTAGGACAGCACCGAGGCCAGAGACAGTCAGGCATCTGGTTTTCTCAGAAGGTCAGCAATGGCGGCCCCTGCATTTCTCTCAGTTATAATCATCTTCAAAGCCTTAATTTAACAGATTTCTGCAAAACAGCTATGCAAAAAAAAAACCTAGCTAGTATGCAAATCAAAAAGAAGTATGACAGTACAGCACATAATCAGTGAAAGATGAGGTACATTATCATGGGTCATGTGTTTACCTTTATCTTCTGCAAGCTCCTGAATAGTCTCCAATACATGTGCCTGCTCTGACACTGATCACAAGGGAACATTAACAGCCAGAGAACAGTGTTTCAAAAGGGAGAGCTTTAGAGTAGCAAGCATTATAATTTTGTTCTTAAAACAACCTGCAGTCCTTAGCATTATCTTTAATACACTAGTCTGAATCATACCTAGCAATCCTTTAAAATACTGAAAAGATAAAGAAAATATTCTTAAAGCCTTCAAAGGCATTTAGCAGGTTTTATGCAGAAGCTTAGCAAACGTTAAAACTTTCAAAATACCTGCTAAATATTGGTTTAATGCTACAGCCAGCATTCCCATTAGGACCTTTATACAGACTATATCTAAGGTTGGAGCTGAAGGGTGCTAAAAAAATCCATAATCATCCTAATATGGGAATTGTTGTTGCTTACTTCTTACTTTTCTCCACTACTAAGCGAGTTATTGACCTGAAACAAGTGTGTACATATCAAACTCAAGCATGTCTCAGGTCATTGGTGAAGAAAACAAAATGATCACTGCCCTGAAACAAGCTAGTCATTGGTCACCAGTCAAAAAGAATCTTTAAAATGTAATAATCACCCTCTGTCTGGGAAGAAGACAATACTCCCTCACAACTGTAATCTGCTAGAACAGCCTTTCTCAACCTTTTTCATCCAGGGGGAATCTTTGAATGTTCTTAGGTGTCGGAGAACCCTTCTTAAGAATACATAGATCGACAGCTCGTAGTAGCATAATCAGTAAGTTGTAGATATTATCATTAAAGATTGAATAATGCATTTGCTGTACTTAGCATAGTTGGTGTGGATCAAATTTAACACCCCTATGTTCTTTATAATTGTGCATTTATATTAACACAGCACAAATTATTCAATGTAAGGAATGTACAGATGTTGCCCCTTACATTGGTGGTCAGTAGAAAACGGTCTTCTGTACTGATGGACAAATGAGAAAAGGGTTTTATACATGTATGGACAGTGGAACAAGTACCCACTTAAATTGTTGGATAGTTGGAGGAAGAATGTCCTGTTGTTACATTTGTGGTTAGTCAAGGAACCCCTAGAAACCTCCAGAGAAAGCCTAGCATGCCACAGAAACCTGACTGAGAAAGGATTTGCTAGATAATCAATTAGGCAGAGTGGTAAATCCAACAGCACAATTACCCCATCTGCATTCAGCATAAATGCTGAACAGTTCCACGCTATAAAGATCTGTCTACCTGGCCAAATCGACAAATGTGTGACCAACATTGGGTTGTGTTGGGCTACAATGCACAGCCACTTATTTTGTCACAGTAAGATGAATATGTATCTGCACAAGGCAAAGCTTGTTAATGCAATGTCACACAAATAAGTAATCTCATACCTCTAGTGGAGAAGGCAGTTGCAGAATGTTTTCTTTCAACATTGTGTAATGATTGCACAGTTGTTGGATCTACAGAATAATAAAAAAAAAACAAATATTTGGTTTTTTATATTTTTTTTTTTAACAAAAATATGTTTGAAACAGAAAGTGACTGGGAAATGAGACAGGCAGCAACATCCCTAACATGCATGGGGAAGCTGGGTTGCCAAGTGCTTACTAGTCTTACAACACCAATATCATGGGTTCAAATACCTACTACATGTAAGAGCATGTTAAGCTAAGAAAGTACACCTTTGCACTGTCCCAGTGAATATGTACAGTATATGTTTAATAATGCAAAAGAGGGGTGATATATATATAAATGCTTCCTATAATTTCATGGGCGCTTTGAGTAAAAACAGTTCAGCTAACTTAAAACCTATAATCTAAGTTCCAGTTATCAAACTTACATGCCTAAAAGATTATTTTACTGGTAAATTAAACTAAACTAAGCTAAATAACTAACTAACAGCACTGGCTTGTGCTTTTGACTCCTTCTTCTATTGAGAGCAAGCATTGCAGTTTCAAAGCCCATCTGCAGTGCCACCTCCAGGTGCAGAACAGTCAGTTATGAGAATGTAGTCTACAGGTCTAGTAATAAGTGGCACATCAAAGTCCACAAAACAAATGTATGCGCCAACAAGATAAATGTCTATCTGTTCCTTATGAGGATTGTGGATGAATAGGGATTACTCCTTCTATAAAACATACTGCTGCATAATGGCCCAGATGGAAAAAAAATGGCCGAGTGGGAGCTATGGGTCCAGTGTTCTGATGGTCAGATTAGAGGTAAGCCCTCGAAGAACCAGACCACTATAAGGATGTTTATTTCAGGAGTGCAGAATTGGACCAATGCTTTTAAAAAGGATATTGTCACAGGTCTAAGTGCCTACATACACTAGTACCTACATAAACTGAAAAATAGGATTTTTTACTTACCTGTAAAATCCCTTTCCTGGAGTATATTGTAGGACACTGGATCTTTAATGGATACAGCTACATTCAGCTGACTGGACACTGGCAAACAAAACTGTAAGGATAGCCCTAACACATACCCTCCCGCTCCCGGCAAACCTAAGTTTAGTAGCAAGCACTGGAAAGTTAATCATAGGAAGAGAGAGGAGGTATTTGTGTCCTGTAATGTACTCTAAGAGAGAATCTTACAGGTAAATAAAAAATTCTATTTTCTTACTCATACATTACAGAGCACATGATCTTAAACATAGGGCAACAAAGAAAACAAATGCCAGCAGGTTCAACAACAAATGGGCAAAACACGGGGCTTTAAAACTCAAAGAACTAGACCACCTTGTACCTGAAACTGGCATCAGAGGAGGCCTAAACATCCACCTGGTAAAACTTAAAAATGTGCAAACAGAAGACAGTGGTTGTCTTGTAAATATGGGAAAGAGATGCGGGATGCTGAAAAGTCCATGAAGCACTGACTGATCTGGTAGAATTTGCTTTAACCGAAAATGGAGAAACAATGGATGTCCCCTATGGGGACCCTCAAGAATGACAAAGAGCAAATCAAACTAAAGAAAAATGTAGCTGAGAGTTAGGCTCACACATCGCATACCACATCCAGAAAGTGCAGAGAAGACTCCTTTTGAAGCAAGACATTAGGCAGAAGCACAATGTCCTGGTTAAGGCGGTAGGAGGAAACCACCTTGGGAAGAAAAGAGGCCTCAGGTCGCAAGACAATCTTACCCCCATGTAATATTAAAAAAGCTAGCTGCAAGGTAAGGCTGCTAACTCAGAGACATGGCTTGCAGCGTTGATAGCAACAAGGAAAACAGCCTTAAGAGTAACTGTAGCCTGTGGAATATCCTTGACGGGTTCAAAGAGCAGCTGCCAAAAAACAAACCAAACCAGGCTGCAATCCCACAGTGTAACTGGTGCGCAAACAGAGGGGATAATGTGAGTAACATTCTGCACAAAGGCTTTCACTATGGAGTGAGAGGCAAGTGGACATTAAAAAAAGGATATGTAAGGGCTGAGATCTGACCCTTGATGGTACTCAAGACCAATATCCAGACTTGAATGGACAAGACAGGATTCATCCCTAGCCTCGCACTACAACAGATAGGCCTCCCAGGTGCGATGTTAAGTCTTTGCAAGAAGTCAACTTCCTAGCTTTCAAAAGCACAGGGATGAGTGAATCCACTAGGCTTCTGTTTTTCACTACCTGTGTTTCAAAAGTCAAGCCACTAAAGCCAGCAACTGAAAATCGGGATGGTGAACGGATCCCTGGAAGGGGCCACAGAGACTGCCAGAAATCTGAGCATATCTAAGTACCACAACGTCCAGTGCAACTGACCCAGTGCAATTAGTATCACCAGAGTGCACTCCATCTCATGGAGCAGACAAGGAAGGAGCTTCAGAGGGGGAAAGGCATAGATCAGGTTGAACTTATCCGAACAGTTACCAGAACATCCCCTGAGAAGGTTTGAGAATCCCTGGTCCTGGCTACAAACCTGTCCAGTTTATTTAAAACTGGATTCTATAGGACATCCATGTCTGGAATCCCCCTCCTGTGACAGAGCTCAAAACACCCCCTGCTAAAGAGAACAATCTTTGGGATCCAGATGTTTGTGACAGAGAAAGTCTGTATAGTCAGTTTTCATGCCTGGAATGTTCACAGTGCTCAGAAGCGGGACGTGCAGTTCTGCCCAAGGCAGAATAAGGTCTGCTCCTTTTTGAACTCTGCCACTACTGGTGCCTCCCTATATTTGATGTAGCCCACTGCCACAACACTGTCCAACTGAGTAATGGTAGTGTAACCCTGCAGTCAAGAGGTTCATTGTCCAAATTAATTCTGGTGACCCTGCAAAAAGGAGATCCAGTGAAGGAGGAACAACCTGATTGTCCTGAGTTCGACAAGTCAGAAAATAATCGGAAGCTGAGCTCTCTCTTACAACCAAGTTCCATATACCCAGACAGTATCCAGGGCTCCAACCCAGCCAAACAGGCTGGCATGCATAGTGAGTACCTTCCAGGTCAACAGGAAAAAGGATCTTCTCAGTTCCAGTGCTGGATCAAAAATCCACCATGCTGGGGCAAGCCTGGTTTTGCCTGTCAGGTCCATGAGGTGATTCAATAGACTGGGTCTGTTTTTCCCATGCTGCCAGAATGTTGAGTAGCAACAGTTTGGAGTAAATTTGGGCATACATTACCATCTCTATGGAGGCCACCATTAGCCACAGAAACTTCATGCAAAAGCAAATGATTGGGTTGCTCCTGGATCTCAGGGTCCACACATAGGAACAGAGAGTTAGGAGCTTTTCTGGAGGGAGGAAGACCCTGGACAGGGCTGTATCCAAGATCAGGTCCAGATACTACAAATGATGAGTCAGACCCAGCTCTGATTTCTAAGATTTTAGATCAAACCATATGTCTGCACTGTCAATTACCAGGAGATCATCTGGATAACCCACAACTGAATACCCTAAAAGCAAAGCTAGGACAGGTGCTAACACTTTGGAGAAAATATAACGTGCTGCAGACAGAATAAAAGCAAGGGTAGGTGATTGATAAAGTTGTACATCCACAGTCAAACTCAGGTAGCACTGATGTGGTGGGAAAATAGGGATATCCTTGGAGATCAAATGATCCCCTAGCTGAATAGAAGCAATGCCTGATCTGGCAAATTCATGCTGGAATTTGCACATGACGGAACCTGTTGAGAATTTTTAGATCCAAAATTGGGTAAATGCCTCAATTTGCCTTGGGGTTGGTGAATTGGTTTAGGTAGAAATCCTGGAACCTATCTCTTTTGGAACAGGAACTATTACCCCTTGAGAGAGGACCTTTGTGGAAAGGCTGGCAAATTCAACAGTGTGAAGTGGGGTGGAGGCAGAAACCGAAACTCGAGTTTTAAGCCTCTGAACACAATGTGTTAGACCCAGGTGTTTGAAATGTCCTGGGACCAGGTGGCTGTGAAGGCTGATAGGTGTCCCCCCAACTCTGACAATTGGGAGTGCCCACTCATAATGGGAAGAGCTTGCTCTTCGACATAGACAAATTTTGTCTCTGCCCCCTCATGTAGTTTTCTGCAGGTAGCCTGTAGTGGATGGAGCTTGCTGGATCACTCCCAAAGATCTGCTCTCTGCAAAGGTCATGATGATGTCACTTCTAATTTTAAAATGTAGCATTTGGGTTTGTAAAAACATTTGGTGAGGAAAATAATTAAAGGACCGTTTTTGTGCCTGGCGTTCAGCTTTAAATGTCCAAAATGCCAAAAATATATATATAGTCATATAGGAAACAAAAAAGTGACAGGGTTTTAACCATTTGCCATGCTATTCAAGAAAAAAAAAACCTTTTGGATAAAGATATACTTTAAATATTAGGAATATGATGTTGTTTGAGAAGATACAAATATACTGGTTTAACAGGAGTATCCTGTAACATTTTCATGAACCTGATGACATTAATAAGTATCATATCACTATCAACACTTACAAACAGGCTGACAAACACATCTTACCAGAATTTTTTTTAACAGCTGGGGGTGGTTTGGTCAATAATTCTTTAATCTGAAGGAAGATAAGCAACAATTAGGTACTTATGGCAAATCAGCACTTAGAGTTGTACTGCATTCACTGAATATTTTTTAAAGGGTTCCTGTACACAGGTGCCCTGATTGACTTCATTTTTATATACAGTACATCCTAATCTAACACCCTGGTCACACTGGGTGTGACATGGCATGCGATTTGCATGCCGTGCGATTTGCAAATCGTATGCCATATTGCACCCTATTGTCCGCAATTACAGTGGTCAAATCAGTGTGGTTCCGACTTGGTTGGAGCCACACGAATTTCTAAAGTAGTACATGTACTACATTTGGTGCAATTTGCATAGACATCAGTGTCAGATCTCTTACAAATTGCACCTGAAATCGGCATGTCCCCCAACTTTGCAATCGTGCAACTTCAGCGTAAGTCACACGATTTCAAAGTCAGGCTTGATGTGACTGGTGTGTTAAACACTAAAAGAAAGTGCCAGTAGTATTGAAATTTGTGCTTCCCACACAGCAACTGTGTATATTTATGGAGCAGTAAATACAGCAGTAAACACAAATAAGTTGAACATTGGTGCATTACCTGCCTGTATGGTTATGAATAATAAGTTCTCCACCTAAACTTAAGGAGGGAAACTCAGTGATACAAGTTAAGCTGGCCAAACATGAATTGAAATTCGGAAGGTTCAGCAGGGATCGACTGAATTTCAATCCATGTATGGGCTACCAGCCCATTGGGTTTTTCCTGAACGATCAGTGCCGTCAGCTATAGGCTGCAGCAACACTAATCATTGTATTCCCGCCAGCAGAACACAATAGTGCTTCGGGAAGGATTCCCCCATCTCCACCGAGTGTGTTGATGGGGGAATCTGCACAATTTTTTCCATTCAACACACTGGTTATGTATTATATGGGGCCTGCCTTCTTTCTCTTCTATATACAGCTAGGATAAACATAAACTAAATAAACTTGGAGAGATAAAATAACATCTGCCAATCAGTTGTTGTATTTTTAGACTGTATTCAGTCCTTTTTGAAGCGTTGTGTTGTGTTACCACATGCATCTTAGTGTGCGATAATTTCAAACATTAACACACATGCAACATTTGCAGGACAATGCACAGATGGTACATGTCTATGTGTTGGAGGATTAAAAAATACATTATGCTAAAAAGGTATTAGCTATTTGAAAAGGATAAAAGATATTTTAAAAAACGGTCCTATCCCAATGGTCTCAACCCAAAACATTTGAATGTAGCTCTCATTTAAATAAAAACAGAAAAATGCCCAACTTGCTCTCATCACAATTATGCTCTTGATGAAGCTGAAGTATGACCTGGTTCTTCTCACTCTTTTCCCTATCACGCTCTTGCTGAAGATGATGTACAATTTGGTTCTTTTCCCAATCAAAATCTTGCCGAAGCAACTGTATAACTTGGTTCTTTTCCAGATCATGTTCCTGTCGAAGTAGCTGGATGCTACGGTTCTTATCCCGGTCATATTCTTGTTTAAGTTCTTCAATGTGATTTCTCCACTTTTCTTCCTTTAGAGAAATGAACGGGTTAAGATATTTTATACCGTTCATCAGCTCATTTTACATGAGTTGAACAATTTACTCTGTAAAATGTAGTGCATTGAACCTCCAAAGGCCAATCTATCCAAAACATACTTCACTGTCCTATAGCTGTGGTACAGTATCCCTCAGTTGTCTAATCTCTGACCCCTGCACTATGCATTACATACTACTGACCACCCATGCACATTACTTACTCCTGACCCCTGCACTTTGTGTTACATACTACTGACCTCTGAACTACTTACTCCTGACCCAAAGCTCAGCACAGCCTGCTAGGACAGGAATTCAAAACAAATAGCCAGTCAGCCAAAACAAATAAAGGTGAAACCGACTGGACTACTGCATCAGCCTTGGGGTGAAGAATTACTCTCCAGACATGAAAAAAATTGTCAATGAAAATGAATACCAGGTTTTTCAGTGAAGCTGAAAAGGGAGGATATGTTTGTATTTTTACAGTCATTTTTGTGTTAGTATATTTTTCATCTATATGTTTGCTTTACATTGTCCTTACATTTTTATTGCGGCCCTTGCTAGGTTGTCTAAGAAAAGGTTGCCTACCCCTGAGGTATGGTGGTCATACAAGCATAAACAAACGATCAATTTCCTTTTTGAATTATCCATCCAATAGGAATATTCTACCTTTAGTCGATAACCTATTTAAACAATGTGTCACACATGGGAAAGTGGGTTTTGTAAGTTATTGACCACATCTCTGTTTCCACCAGGTAATGTGAAAATGCTGATTGATACAAACCGCTCAATAGCATTCCGCAATGGCTGATCGACTTTGTGTGATTGATGTTTAGTGTAAATTTCTTATAAAGGAAGCTACAGCTATTCGATTGTTTGAGGATTCAATTGTTTTGATTGAATCACACACTGATTGGATAACAAACCTTTTGTCTGAAAGCCCTCCAGACCCCAGCAGATATCTGTTTATTATATACTGTATACCTGTGCTCAGATGTATGTGCAAACATGTACATCTCCATAAATGTGTATCTTTAGACTTAGCCTTCATAAATAAATTTTGTGTTGACGCTAGATCGTGTGATATGTATGAGATTACTCTGTATGTGAATAATATCTTTATGAATTCCTCTGACAGCAAACTGAAAATCCAAAATATATTTCCTGTCAATCGTTTGAAAACATACCAAAAATAAACATAAATTACAACTGTTAAAGTGCATTAATAACTATACCTGCTTTTTTAAAAGTTCCTTAATATTTTCAGTGTCACAGCGATATTTTGACTTTCCCTGTCCTGGGTCAGTCTGAAGTCCTTCTTCTAGAATTCCTAATCCAGACATCCTTTGCTGGCTCTGTCTCTTCACTTCAGTCAGTTCCTGCAGATAACAAACACCATAATAAGAACACAAAATATAGTGCAGTGCTATCCCCCCTTCAAAACTAAATAAATATTTGTCATTTAAACCAAACCTATGCAACTAATGATATAAGTTTATAGCACAGATAGCGAAAACATAGTACATAGCAGAAATAGATTATTTTAAAGGATAAGTTCACCTTTGGGAACATGTTTTATAGGTGGAACATGTGACATGTTCCCACTCCTGGAGCTTCCACTCGCTCTGATGCATTTAGTGGCAGCTATCGGGGTATCTTTTCCCCTCATTAACTGGCACTATTTTTGAAAAAATGCGGCTGCACGGGGCTCCACTCATCCGGCCGCGTCATTTATTCACAGGATTCTGTGAATGGAAAACTACAAGTACTGACAGCCTTTGCGGCACTGTTGTAGTTCATTAATTCTTCCTGTTAGTGTGCATCTGCTTGCCTGTACGCGGTACAAGCAAACGGATACACTGACAGGCCTGCAGGAGTCCTGCATGGCACCTGCGATCTGATGATCGCAGTAACCATTCTTTCCAGGCTACTGGTAAAAAAATAAAAAAAATGCACTTTTTTTTTTTAATCTGCAAAAGATGTGCATTTTTTTTAAAAGGTGAACTTATCCTTTAGAGTAAAAACTGTTTTTATAAAGTGTTACAATTGAAAATGTATACAGGGTGCTTCATGTGCTTCCCCCAACTGTACAAATAAAGTCACTCTGCAAAAAAGACTCTTTTTTGGATTGCAAATCTTAGTAGCATTCAAAGTGCAACAGTGCTCCAGTATATTGCTGCACTATATTTTTTTTTTTTTTTTTTTTTTGAAAATACCTTTGTAATAGGTGCTGGCAGCTTAGTGTGGAATAAAATTAAAGAGCATAATAATATAATAGTAATATTATTATTATTAATGATAATAATATACAGTATTTAATTCATCATAACTGACATAAAAATCACAATTAGCCTGCATTAACACATACTTGTTACTCTACCATAGCAATATTTATACAAGCAGCACACAAGAAAAATACAATCAGGTCTATCCCCATAGGGCAGTTTACTAAAACAGATTTTTACCTGCAGAGCCTACCGTGTTCCTGGCTTTGTTTCTTTGAATAAGAAAAAGTTTGTTCTTTGAGAAAATCAATGTATTAGACCAGGTTATGTATCTATTTTTAGACTATTCCTACTACATAACTATTGCTAATCTTGCTTTGCAGTGGATTTGAGGTTAGCCCAACAGCCACAGATTTTAAATAAATCAAATTTTCTTTTTATTTAAATGGATGGGTAAAACAGTTATTTGCTTTGACTAAATTAAACATTTTGTCTACAATTCTACATCATTCTGAATATATTCAAAATGACAAGAGTCCTGTAGTGACATATTTGCCAGCGGGAGGAGCCACCACATTCATTGAGGGAGCACATAATCTGCATACCCAAAAGTGTAGAATAAATGCAGGGGCTGGGGAGCAGCAAATCTGCGGCTTTTTAACACACTGGCCACACTGGTATAGTAACTATATCCTCTCTTCTTTTATAGATTGCCTTGTGTGGCTGGGTTACTTTAAGGTTGACCCAACTAGCTGGAGTGTACCACCCCGTATCACCTGCTCACCCACAGACATTATGGAAGATCTATAAAATAGTCACGCTATAGCTGTACCAGTTATAAACCCGTCACCATCAACCTTCTAAAATATTTAGCTAAGAAAAGCTCAATTGTAAATTGTATCAATCAATGTATATGTGCAACAATGAGAAACTGTCTTAGAGAGTAAAGCGGCAGGCACAATGAAAATCAGAACATACCTTTTAGTTATTAAGACTCTGACTCCATAATAATAATAAAAACAGAAAAGCAGCTACAAGTTCAAGCACCTACAGTTACATGCACATCACTGCAGCAGTTTCAAAAACCCTGCATAAATGGCTGAATGCTGGGCCATTTTGAGGCAACGGTCTGACGCTTTCTTAATGGTCAGGAGCTTGCCAACCCTTTTATGCCTTCACCATATTTTAGTGCCCAGCAAGCCAATTCATCATAACGATGAACTAATAGAAACTGAAGAGCCTACCTGCAAGCTCTGGTATTTTCCAAATGCGACAAAGTTCTGCCTGTCAGAATGGCACAGCATTCAGCCTTATCTGCAGGGCTTTTGAAACCTTAGGTGCCTTCACTTTATACTTGCAGCAGCTATTCTATTTTTCTCTTTAAAAAACGTGCACTGAGAGAAAAGCTGAAGCTGCCACAGATGATCTCCTTCTGAAAAGAAGTCACTGATCTAGAGCAAGTATGCAGATCAGAAAAAGTGAAGTCTATACTGTATATTTCCATACTGCATATTTCTTAAGTATTATTTTCATATAAAGACTTTATTATTGACAGTTTCTATACCTCCTTAGTACACATTTTTTTATTCTACCATAGTATTTTCAAAGCCTCTGATGCCAGGGTGCTTAACATGTAATAGATTCAAAGCTAAAACACCTTCTGCCCTTGCATCTAAGTAATATGCTGAGCCTCTCAAACTTAAACTGAAATATGCAATACATTATGATGCAGCTCTGACTTTGGAGCTTTAAGCTGAGGTTTGCATGCAGTATACCCTAAATACCAAGTTACACTATGATAACAAAATGTATGTGCAGGCACCTCTGGGTATTTGCTTTTTATGTCCTTGAACCATTTGTTTTTGTAAAAAAACACTTTAAAAAATATTATATTACAGTTGTCACTTACATTCTCCAAAGAGGAGTTCTTATCAGTCACGTCTTTAAGCTCCTTCATAAACATTTCCTTCACTTTTCTCATTTCATCTTCAAAGTTTTCTTTTTCTTCCGCTTTCCATTTGTCAAACTTTTTTAAAACTTCCAGCTCCATTGTTTTCCTATGCTCACTTTCCTGTAGCTGTATAAAATATAATGATATGCAAGATGGCCAAAAATATTTCACCATTTCAAGATCTATTTGTTTACTTCAGGTAGGGAGACATCAGCGAGGGATTCTCAACGCAGACAGATACATCTCTGAAGACCTTTTTACAGCCTATGTATCAGTCTACATGCCCCACTAGTATACGCACACTACACTGCTACCTCTGTTACCAGAAAACCCACATACAGTATATTCTTAAAGACATGCTACCAATCTTATCTCATTATCTCTCTCTTTCTCTATAATATATATACACTGCTCAAAAAAATTAAAGGAAAACAAAAGCCTACATCTTTGATGGTATGGGGGTGTATGAGTGCATACGGAATGGGCAGTTTGCACATCTTTAAAGGCCTCATCGATGCTGAGAGACACACTGCTCCAAAAAATTAAAGGAACACTTTTTAATCAGAGTATAGCATCAAGTCAATTAAACTCCCAGGATATTGATCTGGTCAGTTAAGTAGCAGAGGGGGTTGTTAATTAGTTTCAGCAGCTCTGGTGTTAATGAAATTAACAACAGGTGCACTAGATGGGCAACAATAAGATGAACGCCAAAACAGGAATGGTTTTACAGGTGAAAGCCACTGACATTTTTTTCCCTACTCCTCTTTTCTGACTGTTTTTCACTAGTTTTGCATTTGGCTAGGGTCAGTGTCATGTAGCATGAGGCGATACCTGGACCCTACAGAGGTTGCACAGGCAGTCCAACTCCTCCAGGATGGCATATCAAAACGTGCCATTGCCAGAAGGTTTGCTGTGTCTCCCAGCACAGTCTCAAGAGCATGGAGGAGATTCCAGGAGACAGGCAGTTACTTCAGGAAAGCTGGACAGGTCCGTAGAAGGTCCTTAACCCATCAGCAGGACCTGTATCTGCTCTTTTTGTGCAAGGAGGAACAGGATGAGCACTGCTAGAGCCCTACAAAATGACTTCCAGCAGGCCACTGGTGTGAATGTCTCTGACTAAACAATAAGAGACAGATTTTATGAGGGTGGCCAGAGAGCCCAACGTTCTCTAGTGGGCCCTGTGCTCACTGCCCAGCACCATTGAGCTCGATTGGCATTTGCTACTGAACACCAGAATTGGCGCCCTGTGCTTTTTCACAGATGAGAGAAGGTTTATCCTGAGCACATGACAGACGTGAAAGGGTCTGCAGAAGCCATGGAGAACGTTATGCTGCCTGTAACATTGTTCAGCATGACCGTTTTGGTGGTGGGACAGTGATGGTCTGGGGAGGCATATCCATGCAGAGACATACAGACCTCTACAGGCCATTAGGTATCAGAATGAAATCCTTGGACCCATTGTCAGACCCTACGCTGGTGCAGTGGGTCCTGGGTTCCTCCTGGTGCACAACAATGCCCGGCCTCATGTGGAAGGAGTATGCAGGCAGTTCCTGGAGGATGAAGGAATTGATACCATTGAATGGCCCCCACGCTCGCCTGATCTAAATCCAATAGAACACCTCTGAGCTATCATGTTTTGGTCCATCTGCCGGTGTCAGGTTGTACCTCAGACTGTCCAGGTGCACAGTGATGACCTGGCACAGATCTGGGAGGAAATACCCCAGGACTTTGATTTTTGGGGTGTCTTTGAATTCAGTCCTCTGTAGGTTGATAATTTTCATTTCCATCAAACGACGGGGCATCCTTACATTCCTAACACAATACCCAGTCCATATCAATATAGATATCCAGCATGATATTTTCCCTATTTAGATCTGATGTGTTTTCAAAGTGTTTCTTTAATTTGAGTAGTGTATATTTATATATACACATATAAACATACACATACATTTAAACAGTGTCTTTAACGTTTACATTTTAATTCATCTTGTACAGGTCTGAATTCAGTAAACCAAATTCTAATTGGCTCTGGTCTTAATGTGAAACTGACCTGGTTAACTCTTTGTGAAGGTAAAAACTGTGCAGAAGTTCAGACACTTTAAATACCTGTGTTATTCAAATCGATGCACATACAAGAAATAAAGTGCAAAGTAGAACGTTCTGACAGCTGAATGACAATGAACAGTTTTTCACTGTTCTGTCCCTGCTAGGGAGAATCTCTATTTGTCCTAGGGACCATTAATACTGAGAAAGAAAAATGTATAAATCTAAAATTTTACAGCTGTCAACAGAACAGGAGCTGAGGGGAAATTTTCTATTAAAGACAACTGTTCCAATGACAAAATTTCTTCTCGCTATATAGAAATTTCCTCTCGCTTTCTGTTGGGACTCTGGGACAGGAAATTAAATGAAATATCTTGGAAAGGAAACAGGCAGCACAAAAATAAACTGGCAGGGTTTTTAATAGTCCTGATTTGCCAAACCTAAAAACAAAAATGTTGATAGAGATAAACTTTAATCTTGGCAGTTTAGTGTCTCTCGACCTTCTGAAGGAATATAGACAGACAAGTGCAAAGGTTACTGTTGTGTTACAGTTGTCCTAAAAATCTACAAAACAGCAACAAGTTAGTTTTCTTCCAGGTTAATAATTTAATTCATAAAACACTATGAGAAAAGAATGCAATTTCCAAAAGAAAGCAAAATAAAGTAACTTATTATGCAGAATTGACTGTCTACAGTCATCTCACCTGAGAGAGTTTCTCCAGATGAGCTACTTTCTCGGTCTCCAACTGCTTTTTGGTAGACTGAAGTTCTTCTTTAAGACATTTTATTTCATAGTACAGATTATCATATTGCTGTGAACTCTGCCTTTGTTTTCCACCTTAAAGAAGAAAAAAAGGCAAAGACAAAATAATTGTGGGGAGTATTAATTGCTTGAAATACCAATAAGAACAGCTAACTTCAATGCTTATTTATTTCCTTTCATTTTTCTAAATAATTCGGATGCAGTTTATAGGAAGCACCAAGCCATTCATCTTAGTACATATCCATTCAGAATCTTACAATCTAATGTCCCCTCCCCAATCATATTCACTCACAGACTACTTCCATTTTTCAAGAAGAGCTCAATAACCTATGAGTATGCCTCATAAGAAAGTCAAAATACATTGTGAGACCATTCAAACTTCATGCAGACAGAGCCCCAGATTAAACAAGTGGTTCCCATACTGCTGGACTTCTAACAATTAAGGAGAAAGCATAAAGATCCCCACATATGAAAACATTTTAACTAATAAGACTTAACCAAAGTTGTAAACCTGCCACATTTACATAGAAGTATTTATCTCAGTCTGTATAACAAATTCTATGATTAAGCAATTTACAGTGTGAAACTCAATGAGAAAGACATCATACCATCCTGATGCACACTGATGGATTTAACTAAAACCTTTGATCGGCATATAGCAGCATATACCCATTTGTGCCCTTATCTGTTCATTCATCCATCATCCAGTTTGTGACAAGTATCAGTGGTAATGAGCTGAAGTAGCATCTGAGTTAGCTGCAGTGGGTATGTGGAAAAACCTGCAGTGGCAACCATTTTGTGAAAGCACAATATGAAACAGATAATATACAATATTTCAAAGAGTATGATCCAGAAGAAACAGTGTAAACAGAAATTCAAAGATAAAGGTTTCCTTTAGAAAACACTCTGTGCCTGTGTCATAATAAAGGATATTTAGAGGATGATGAGTTTTCTATGCTCTCTGCTACCTGTACAGCCAAATCTACCTAATCGTAGCACATTTTTCATGTCTTCTGTGCTACCAAATTGCATAATGACCTTTCAACCAAAAATGTTCTGCTTCATCAACAAGGGCATTCAGGTCTGATATGAGGCGGAGGGCCAACAGAGCAGAACTCTTCCTGAAATTACCAAACTGCAGTACTGAGCACTTGCCATACTTCCTTTTCAATGAAACATTCTTTGCTTCATTTGACTGACAGTACCTTGTTTGTGCAAAGGACAACACATTTAAAATATCTAGTTTTAGAGAAAATCCAGCACTATAGACAGACATTCTGTACACCCTTTACCAACATATTTATGTAATAACATATTATGATTACTATATTATTATCAAAATGTGTTGTAATTGTAACAGGTAAGAGAAAAACCCAGACTGTTCTTCCATTACATACTGTACTTATACTATGACATTTTGTGTGACCTGGGCAAATATTCCTAGACTTCAGATTACTAATTCACCTGGAACTAATGCTATTACTGTTGTATAAGGCAGGCAGAGTAGTTTAAATGTGCCCCATACCTTATACATTGCTGGGTAGAAGTGATTTGTGATGCTGTTTTGTTTAAATAGCACTTTATAAGACCTGCATGTGTCAGCTTTGTCAAAATTAGGTGCAAGGTTCTCCTAATAGGTGGAGTTGTGGCACTTAGGGGCCTATTAACATCTCTGCATTTCAGATGCCATATAAAGAAAACTGGTCAACAACTGCCATTTGTAGTAACCTTCAGAAGCGAATTGTTTTAACAGTGTAGTATTTTCTCCTAGACATTCCTAAAGAAGAATTCCAGGTATGGATATTTTATACTTAGTTACACTGGTCCAGCACATACCATAATGCAAAAAAACTTTTCAGAAGCATGTGTCACATGTGCTCTTTAAAATAAACATGCAACACAGTGAATGGTGTATATAGTCCTGTACCAACGTTAACATGCGTGATAGTCGGTACTATTTCTTTAAATCACATTGGCATACAACAGACTTGATTGGTGAACCTTGACAGTGATCAAAGTGAAGCACAACATTCCTTTTATGATAGTTCATATACAAACAATCGTGCTCAACTTGAATGAAAAAACATGCATGTGGCAATAATGCATGTGAAATCCAGTGATGGTGTCAGCACACTCCTCCTGAGGCTAGATTGCCCCCTCACCTTAATTTTGCAACCCAATGGGCCCTCACGCCTTTAAGATCACTATAGGATCTTTCTCCCATGGTGGATGCCTCAGCCACGCTCCTATGGACCCCTCTGTGATGCGTAGGTATTCAGGACACTCTAAGCACTGCTTACAACTGGGAAGGTTACTCATCATAACCATGATGAGTGAGAAACAAAACTTCCATAGTGCAGTAATTCTTGTAAAAATTCGATATTAAATGTAAATAGGTAATGCTCACAACAGATGATATTCCACTTCAATAGGATGAAGACCTGATGTCTGGATACACTGCATGGGTTCTGGCTTGTTTGGGTGTATAAAGATGGCCGCCGCACCGGATGTGCGCCACCGCGGGCCAAACCGGAAGCTGCGTCACGGCGTATCTACGTGTTATGTCACTGTGACTCGTGACGCGTCACAGTCACGAGTTACAGTGACGTAACGCGTAGATACGCCGTGACGCAGCTTCCGGTGACGCGTCACAGTCACGGGTCACAGTGAGTCACTCGTGACGCGTCACAGTGACGTAACGCATAGATACGCCGTGACGCAGCTTCCGGTTTGGCCTGCGGTGACGCACATCCGGTGCGGCTGCCATCTTTATACACCCAAACAAGCCAGAACCCAAGCAGTGTATCCAGGCATGAGGTCTTTATCCTATTGAAGCTCCACTTCCTTAAATTGAACCTCTCCAAAACAGAGTTTCTTGTCTTCTCCCCAGCCCGGACCCCACCCCCCATTGACTTCTCCATGATGTCCAACAACACCACCATCAAACCCGCCCCGCAGGCCAGAGTACTTGGTGTCATTCTGGACTCCAACCTATCCTTCCAGCCCAAAGTCCAATCTTTAACAAACTCGTGCAGACTCCAACTTCGCAACATCGCCAAAATCCGCACGTTCCTAACCCCAGAAACCACTAAACAGCTCATCCACTCCCTCATCATATCACGACTCGATTACTGCAACTCCCTCCTTACTGGCCTGCCTTGCCGCTGGCTATCCCCTCTTCAGTCCATCCTGAATACGGCTGCCAGACTCATTCACCTTTCTAACCGCTCCGTTTCCGCCACACCCCTCTGCCAATCCCTCCACTAGCGTCCGATTGCACAACGGATCAAATTCAAAATCCTAACACCGACGTACAAAGCCGTCCACCACACTGCCCCGAACTACATCACTGACCTAATATCCAAGTACCACCGAGCACGCACACTCTTCTCCTCACAAGACCTCCTTCTCTCTAGTTCCCTGGTCTCCTCCTCCCATGCCCGTCTCCAGGACTTCTCCAGAGTGTCACCCATCCTCTGGAACTCCCTGCCCCAACCCATCAGATTATCACCTACTCTCCTCTCCTTTAGGCGCACCCTGAAAACCACCTCTTCAGGGAAGCCTACCCCACCCCCCCCTGTAACTTGCCGACGACCTCCACTCTTCCTACCACTCCATCCCCCACAGCTTTCTCCTCCTGTGCCACCATCCCCTCCCTCCTAGATTGTAAGCTCGAAAGAGCAGGGCCCTCGATCCCCCCATGTTTTGCATTGTATTGTTATTGTTCTGTCACATGTTCTGTCCCCCTTTGTAATGTACAGCAGTGAGCGAACTATTGGCGCTTTATAAATACTGTATAATAATAATAATAATATCATCTATTGTGAGTGAGCATTACCTATTTACATTAAATATCAACTTTTTACAAGAATTACTGCACTATGGAAGTTTTGTTTCTCACTCATCATGGTTATGATGAGTGACCTTCCCAGTTGTAAGCAGTGCTTAGAGTGTCCTGAATACCTACGCATCACAGAGGGGTCCATAGGAGCGTGGCTGAGGCATCCACCCTGGGAGAAAGATCCTATAGTGATCTTAAAGGCGTGAGGGCCCATTGGGTCGCAGAATTAAGGTGAGGGGCAATCTAGCCACAGGAGGAGTGTGCTGACACCATCACTGGATTTCACATGCGTTATTGCCACATGCATGTTTTTTCATTCAAGTTGAGCACAATTGTTTGTATATGAACTATCATAAAAGGAATGTTGTGCTTCACTTTGATCACTGTCGAGGTTCACCAATCAAGTCTGTTGTATGTCAATGTGATTTAAAGAAAATAGTACCGACTATCACGCATGTTAAAGTAAAGTTGGTACAGGACTATATACACCATTCACTCTGTTGCAAGTTTATTTTAAAGCGCACGTGTGACGTATGCTTTTGAAAGGTTTTTTGCATTTTTGTATTATTGTGGTACCTTAAATAGCGCTGCACCATATGATCTAATTCTTCTAGTTGCTGTTAAGGTTTCAGTATTGGGTGTCAGCTGCTTATCTATATAGGAACTTCATAAAGCGCAAGAGGAATTTCTAAATAATTTTTTATGCACATACCATACCTGACCGATGCCGCTGGAAGCTGGAAATACTGAAGTAGATAACGCTACTCCAGTGATCTCTACTTGCTTCCAGGTCTCATACTTAGTTGCTGGCCTGCTACATTCTGAACACAGGCAATCGACCATTCAGAGAATGCTTTCATTTTATGAATGAATGCAAAGTGTTCTCTGATTAGACAAGGTGGAGTGATGTCATGCTCCCCACCTTGGTCGATCAGAGAAAGCTTTGCATTCATTCAAGAGATATAAAGCATTCTCTGAATGGTGTCCATGCCAAACAATCAACCTCCTGTGTCCAGAATACAGGGGGACTGAGAAAAAAAGAACAAAACAATAAAAGCACTGTAAGGCTGAGTTTGCACAGGCGTTGAATTTTAAAGCAACCTTTAACGCGCATTAATGCATCTATAACGTTAATGTGTGTTTCAAACACTTTGCACGGGCATTCAAGTCGCATCAAGTGAGCTCCTCAAACAACCTGTGAAATTTTAACTTTTTTTACATTGTTAGAACCACTTCACATGATTGCAAAGTGGAAGTAAAACTGGCCAGTTGATTTTAGTTTCAATTGCCCACTGACCACCACCTAAATGCCGACATAGCAGACAGACAGTGTCGTACACATGCCGTCCCCATGCTTCCCCTTGGAATGTAAAAAAAAAAAACAAAAAAACAGGCATTCAGGAGGTGGCAGGATTGCTTTTGGAATGCCTGATAGCCCCTGCTCTACCCCCCTCTGAAAAGCGATCCATTGCGGTTTGTTTTTAAGAGAATGGTAGAGATGGTCACCCATGTGAAAGAACACTTTTAACATTTTGCAACCGTGCCTTCTGCTGTAACACTCTGTAAACACCACAAACACGCTTACGGAGCATTTTAGCAGAAGTGAATAGAGGCCACTGCAACGTATCAATGCCTGCCGAACTCGACACGCAGTGTTATCTTTGGCTTGCTGCAACACAAAGCAATGCTAATGCTGTCGTGTGTACACCTCCATCTACTCCCTATTTTAACAAGTTTGAGTGGCATTGATAGTCGGTTCGGCAGAGGTAAAAACATGACCCAACTGCCTACTTTCAATGCTTGTGTGGTGAACAAGGCCTGACACTTGGAAAAAAAAGATCTTCAAAATTTTAAGTGCAGAAGTGTGAATAGTCCCTAAAATATTGGACATTACTGGCTACAATGAAAGTCAGAACACAGTATATTGGCCTACAATATACTGTTCTTACAAGGTTATTAATTACCAAAAGAAGCTTCTTCAGTATGCCTCCTCTTTATGTGACTTTCTAAATACGAAGAGTTTACAAAAGACTTCTCACAATGTTGGCACTGAAAAGAAAAAAAAACATGTATACATACATATGTTTGTGTTTATGACAAGTCTAATATCAAGTATCACAATTACTACTGTATATACAGTACATTTAACACTAACATTGTGTTGAAGTAAAAAATAATGTTTTGGGTTTTTCTTAAAAGGGTACCTCATTCATTAATTCATTGAAAATCATAAACCTGCTGTGTGTTAAAGTGACTGCAGACCTGAAAAATATGAACCTAAAGTGTCTGTATGTTAACAGGGATTTTTGATTCCTATCGCCCGATGCCCGGGATATGTAGTTCTGGGCGTCGGACAGGTAGTCTTTTTCTACTTTTAGCCCTGCTATGGGCAAGCAGCAGGCTCACCTGTCAGGTGGAAGCATTCGGGCGGCAGCGCTGTCGCCGATTGCTTCCACACAGTGTCAGCCTACCCCCCCGTGAGGTCTCCCAGGCTCCGCTTGCCCACCTGCGAGCCCGGGCCCGGCTGATCGCTGTCCACTAAGCCGTCAATGTGTCCGCTCTCCTCCCTCCCCTACTTGTCCTGACCCGGAAGTGACGTTATGATGTCACTTCCGGGTCCCCGGGGAGAGATTCCTGGCCATGGAAGCCGGGAAAGAATGTAATGCGGTGCAATATGCATTACATTCAGTGGAGCACAGGGGAGACATGCAGGGTGTTTTAGACCCTGGATGCCTCAATAAAGAGAACCTATCACCAAAAAATTATCACATAGGGGATTTTTAAGAAAAGACCACATAGATGAGTTCTTGCTGGAAAAAAATATTTTAAGCAACAGACAGCATGGATTCATGAAAGACAGAAGTTGTCAATCAAATCTGATTTCTTTTTATGGGGAGGTGAGCAAAACCTTGGACAGAGGGGTGGTGGTGGACGTGGTATACTTGGATTTTGCAAAAGTGTTTGACACAGTTCCCCACATATGGCTAATGTGTAAGGACAGTCTACAGGCTTGGATTAATCCGTATGTAAATGGATAGAAAACTGGCTAAAAGATCGTATTCATAGAGTAGTGGTTAATGATTCATACTCTGAATGGTCTAGGGTCATCAGTGGTGTACCCCAAGGTTCAGTGTTGGGACCCTTACTTTTTAATATATTTATAAACAATATAGGGTCTGGGATTAAAAATCCCATTTCAGTCTTTGCAGATGACACCAAGCTGTGCAGTGGAATAACATCCTTACAGGATGTCTCCAATTTACAAGCCGACCTCAATGCACTGTTTAATTGGTCAACTATGTGGCAAATGAGGTTTAATGTAGATAAATGTAAGGTTATGCACTTGTGGGCTAAGAATATGCATGCATCATACATACTAGGGGGAGAACAACTGGGGGAATCAATGGTGGAGAAGGATCTGGGAGTTCTGGTAGATCACAAGCTTAATAATGGCATGCAATGCCAAGCTGCGGTTTGTAAATTGAGCAAAATCCTCTCTTGTATTAAAAGAGGTATAGACTCCAGAGAGAGAGATATCATATTACCCCTGTACAAATCATTAGTAACACCTCATCTGGAATATGCAGTTCAGTTTTAGGCACCAATTCACAAAAAGAACATTGGGGAACTGGAGAAAGTACAGAGAAGGGCAACAAAACTGATACGAGGCATGGAGGAGCTCAGCTATGAGGAAAGATTAGAGGAACTGATTATATTCTCTCTTGAGAAGATGAAGGGGATATGATCAACATGTATAAATACATCAGTGGATCATATAGTGAACTCGGTGTAGAGCTATTCACCATGAGGTCATCACAGAGGACAAGGGGGCACTCTTTATGTCTGGAGGAAAAGAAATGTAATCGCCAAACACGGAAAGGTTTCTCCACAGTAAGAGCTGTGAAAATGTGAAATAGACTCCCTCAAGAGTTCCGGCCAGCTGAGTGGATGGCTTTAAAAATGGCCTGGATTATTTCTTAGATGCACAGAATATAACTGGATAGAAACATTTATAGGTAAACTTGATCCAGGGAATATCCTATTGCTTCTCAGGGGATCAGGAAGGAATTTTTTTTCTCTGCAGGAGCAAATTGGATCATGCTTTGTTGGGTTTTTTTTGCCTTCCTCTGGATCAACTGTGGGTGTAGGATTATAACATATTTTTTAAAAGGTTGAACTGGGTGGACTTTTGTCTTTTTTCAGCCAGACTAACTATGTAACTATGTGCTGAAAACAAAAAAGTAAAAAAAAAGGGGGGGGGGGGTTTAATTGTAAAAAATAAAAGTTACACCCAAGCACATACCATCCCCCCCCAAAAAAAATTAGACCCCCCCCACCCCCTCATATATGCACGTACAAACGTAAAAGCACACACTGGGGCGCCTATGCATGAAAACATCCTTTGCGATGCACATGTCACATATCGCTGCACATGCCAGAATGAGAGCAGTCATTCCAGCACCAGACCTCCTCTGTACCACTAAACTGATGACCTATATGGAGCTTTAAAAGTGTCGACCTATAGAAAATATAGAGTACTAAAGTTCGTCGCCACTTCACGAGTGCACTCAAATTTAAGGTTTGACAAGTTGGATATCTATTTACTAGCTGCAACCTCATCTTGTATATTTTGCAATAAAATAAAGTAATTTATTGCTTTTTTGTGCCCTAAAATTAACTTACTTGTATTTTTTACTGAAATATTACGATAATATCATGCAACATAAAAAATTGGAACTACCACTATTTTATTCTCTAGGGTCTCTGCTTTCAGAAAATATATAATGTTAAGGAGTTTTCTGTAATTTTCAGGCCTAAAATGCTTTTTTAAACTTGTGCAAAAAACGCAAAAATGGCTCTGGCAGCAAAAGGGATAACGGATAAGCCCTGACCCACCCTTTCCTGAGGAGCAGCCAATCGTTCTCATTACACTGCAAGGGCTCTCTCCTCCCTGCTAGTCCCCAGGTGTGGTGCTGGAGACAGGCAGAGAGGGGAGGAGAAGATAAACAGCACAATGTTAAAAATATTACACTTTTAAGTCGCCATAAAGCCCCTTTCGTTTTTAAAAGCCCCAGACATTCCTAATATTACCTCCGATTTAAATACAGTTTTGGTTAAAATTTATTTAATGTTTTTATCTGGACAAGTAGATTGTCATGAGGGTCAAGTATATTGGGGCACCAATTTAGTCCCTGGACAAGTAGTTTTTTTTCAAAAATTTCCAGATCCCTGATGTACTTTTCAATATATATAGATAAAGGTGATTTTTCAAAACTGAATCAAAGAAAATTAGCACAAAATGTAAGTAATTGTCCATAGTAACCCATCAGAATTCTTGTTTAACCCCTTCACGCCAGCACTTCCCAGCCCTTTTACCACTTTCTGTCCGGCTGCTGTATATACACGGCCAGACGGTGGCAGTCCAGGGGCGGGTTGCCGTTCATAAACGGTGCCCGCCATTTTGAACTGTGTGCGCTCCCTGTGAGTGTGCAGCACCGTGATCCAGTGCCCGCTGTGTCCTTCGGACACAGTGGAACACCGATCGTCATACGGGACCTCAGTGCGAGGTCTTGATCATGTGATCACTGATTGGCCAATCAGTGATCACAGGCAGAGTAGTAAGCAAGATGTCACTTCTGACATGGTTTACTATGTGTGAAATCTGTGAATGATCACAGAGGTCACATGGTACAAGGCTATTCACAACAGCCTTGTACCATGTGACAAGCTGTGACCAATCACAGTTCACACAATAGTTCTCGATGGCAGCAAGAATGCAGCCAGAGAGAAGGAGAAATGATTGCTTTTACAGCCTTTATGGGTGTAAAAGCAATCAGCGTAAAAAAAAATAAATAAATAAATCTTCATCACCCCCCACAAGTAGTACAGTGTCACCATGGTGACACTGTACTGCTAGGGTGACAGTATGTAAAAAAAATAAAATATAACTAAAAAAAATAAAAATGTAAAAAAAAAATATAAAAAAATTATGATTTTTGGTTATAAACTAATTTGGGTTATTTATTTTTTTTACTAAAAAGATAACTGAATAAATTTTGGGCAAGATTTATGATGAAATATTATTTATTTGCAAAATTTTATAAGAAAGACACCTTTTTTTCTAAATTTTTGGACTTTTTCATTTATATAGCAAAAAAAAATAAAAATCCCAGTGGTGAATAAAGACCACCAAAATAAAGCTTTATCTGTCTCAAAAAAATGCTAAAAAATTCATATGGGTACAGTGATGCATGACCGCGCAATTGTCATTCAAAGTGTGATAGCGCTGAAAGCTGAAAATTGGCCTGGACAGGAAGGGGGTAAAAGTGTCCGGACTTGAAGTGGTTAAGGGGTTTCTGACACTGGGAGGCGGGGCAGGGTTTAGGGTCATCTGACCGCTGTCAAGGCCCATATTTGCATATGGTCCGCATGAAGAGATTAATGTGTCTATAATATGAAAAACGATTAGCTAATAGCTGCTATGGCTTTTGAGCTCCGTTTCATGAATCACTGCAATAGACTTAAGCCTCGTACACACATGCCAAATACTGGCCGATTCAACAGAAACCAGCTGACATTCGGACCATGTGTGCACAAACCTCTCTGACAAAAGCCGGCTGAACAAGCTCGTCATTTTTTTTTTTTTTTGCTCGGCCTTCTGGGTTGAACAAAGAAAAAACTGATAGTGTGTACCAGGCATTAAGCTGGCCACAGATGACTTTGTTTTTTTTTTTTGTATCAGCCAGAGGGCTGATAGAAAAAAAATGCTGATTCCTGCATTCACACAAGAGCGGGAATTCTTCCATCTGTGCTATTGTATTCTGACAGTGGGGACCCTTCTGCACTGTGGTCAAGCAAAAATTTACCAACAGTCCCATTCAAGAGGAGTTGATCATTAGACCAGTGTTTCTCAACTCCAGTCCTCATGGACCCCCAACAGGTCATGTTTTCAGGATTCAGATGAAACAGCTGTGGTAATTACTAAGGCAGTGAAACTGATCAAATCACCTGTGCAAAATAATGGAAATCCTGAAAACATGACCTGTTGGGGGTCCATGAGGACTGGAGTTGAGAAACACTGCATTAGACTGATTCCTCTCGGACTGGAGTGAAGTTCGGCTGGTCCCCGCTAAACAAGTAAAATTTCAATCCATCTAGGGCCAGCTTAAAACTATGATGTTTATCATTAGTCATGACAAATACCGTTTTTAGTTAATGCTAATTCAGAATGACTACAGAGTAAGTGATCCTTAACTCACTACCCTCAGCACTATGTGCAGTCATACAGCTGCATCCTAATATATATGTAATTCTTAACTCCAGTATAAAACTAAAATATTATCTAAATACAAAAGGCATATATATATATATATATATATATTATATTTTTTATTTTTATGTTAGTGAGCTTTTGTGTTATCCTTTCAGATTTATGATGTAATCCAGCATGAAATGTTTTCCCTGTACAGGAGCTTCCTGTAATAAAGACCAGTCACTGCTGCCATTCTTTGTGAAGGGTAACTGGTCTGGTATCTGCCTCCTCTGCACAAAATCTGTAGTGCATGAAGATGCTGGGTCCCTCCCACAGCTTTGCTCTTTGTACTGGCTATGTGCAGCACTGTGATGATGTCACTGCTACTTTTACCATATAATAATTGGGTTTGCAAAGGAATATACTTCACACAAAGTGGATTTTTCTCCTTCGTGGCTACTGAAGAATATATAAATAAATGTTTTTATGCCTGGAGTTAAACTTGAATTACTTAAAAGAAAGCTTTCTGACACTGACAGCTATGCACAAATCATGTGACTGGATTTTGAAGACAGACTATGGCCAGTGGATTTGCAGGAGATATAGGTTTACACCTATGTGCAAGCATGTGTACATTAAACTGAAAATAATGCACTGGATTACCTTTCACATACTTATTCCCTGTAATTTTCTTCTCAATTTACCTTGTGGTAAGGTCCAGTGGCAGCACTGATCATCATTTGCTGTGCAGCAATCATCTTCTTCCTCAGCCTGCACTCATCTTTGAGTGACTTTGTTTCTGCAGACTGCTTGGTTATCTTTACCTGTAGCTGTTCAGACTCTTTCATGGTGGCACGAGCCTTTTCCTCCAATGTTTGTAGGTTAGAAGTTAGGTACTCCTGGGAATGCAGCAAATACTCAACGGAAAACTGAGCAAGTCTAATCAGTTTGATCAATACAGGATCCAGATTGTTGTGACAGTGTGGGCACTTCTTCTCATTTTCTACACTGCAAAAAGTAACACCCATAATATTGTCTTGAAGAGTTTGAAAATCCAGCTCATTTGCTACTCTGTCCACATCAATACTTCCAATTCTTCTCCAGTCCACACTTTCATGGCGTGTTCGGAACTTAAAAAGTGTACCATGAGTAGAGGAAGGCATCCTGCCAGAAGAAAGGAAAGGATTGGGCATCCAAGGTGCATCTAACATAGTACAGGCTTGAGCCTCATCCTTCTCAAATGGGTAGTAAATATTGTCATGAAAAGGCTAAAACAAAAACATAAGAAATTGTTAAAAATAAAACCATGAATTTTTAAATAAATCAAACATACATAAAACATAATCAACTATGGTGATTTATGCAAATATTGATCTTAGCTTTTATTGGATAATACCTTCCTGAAAAATTGTTGAAGGTGACGATTAGTTCCCAACAAATGGCTAAGTACACAGTTCAATTTCAACACCAGAATATTTTAATTACATGCCCTGTGTCAATAATATTAATTTAAAAAAAGCAGCTCTCACTGTGAGTCTCAGTGCTCTGCGATCTTCCAGGTTAAACAACAATCATTAGGGTTCATTTGCACCATTGTTGTAATGCTCGTTAACCACAACGCATGTTGTATGCATCAGCATGTTGCAGTATCATTTATTTTTTGGTACCAAAATGAATTTTAATAATTAAATGAAGAAAGCATTACATTAAAAGTCAACACAGTGGGGTTAATTTACTAAAGCTGAAGACTGCTAAATCAGGCTCACTTCTGCATAGAAACCAATCAACTTCTAACCTCAGCTTGTTCAATTAGGCTTTGGCAATAAAATCTGGAAGCTGATTGGTCTAATGCAGAAGTGAATCTGATTTTGCACTCTCCAGCTTTAGTAAATAAACCCCACTGTGTGGATATACAGTGCAATATATCCAAATGTAAAACTGTTGCTCATACAGGAGCTAAATGTGATTAACAAAAAAAAAAAAAAATACACAGTGTCAGTATTAGTGTATAAAAAAAATCCATTGCAAATTAGTATGATGGTACAAGTAAATGAGCAAAAGAAAAAAGCCATTCAACCTTGTTTCTATTAGTTGCATGAATCTGTCCATTAGCTGATGTGAATTACCAGACCTGTATAGGGAAGAACAGAGCACGATAGAGAAAAGGAAACATTTGCCCCCCTTTAAGCTGTGAGGGATCCATCATGTAAAATATATAGTTGAGAAACAGACACAAAAAAAGAAATAAAAAGAAGAGAGAAAAAAAGAGAAGAAGAAAGAATATAAAAAAGGGAGGGAGCTTCAGGGGGAGAGGGCAAAACAAGAAAAGAACCAGGGAGGCTGCTCAAAAGAGACCAAAAATATGATACATTAAAGGATGGGAGCCCTCCTTTATATCAAACCTGTATGAGCCGTGCAGTCTATCAAGATGTTGGGAAGTAGCATAACCAGGGCTGACATATTGAAACAAATTTCCTGCAGGACAGAAGTCAATTTTTCACTCATAATCCTGGATTTAACCTCTTCAACATTTAGGGAAGCAGATTTCCAAGTGTGGGCTATGGTTTGTTTAGTGGCTATGAAGATGTATGTAATCAGAGTATGGCTACGTCTAGGGATATTGCTTACTAACTTGTAGAGAAGGGCCTCCCAAGGGTCCTTGTAGATCTTAACCTTTAATACCAAGCTGATCAGGGTGTCAGAGTGTAAACTGTAGCCCAGGGGTGCTCAACCTTTTGAAGAGCAAAGGCCATTTAAATGATCTGGTAACCAGTCACTGGCCACAATGAAATGAAATGGTTCAGAATTTTAAATAGCTTAATGAACATTTTCCTCCTGCAACCGCTGAATGGCGGTGGGAGGAAGAGGAGGAGAAGTCGGCTTTCAGTGGTTGCAGGAGATAAATGCAGAGAATTGGTTCCTGTATATCTCGTTCCTCCTGTCCATGTATAAAACAGAATGTGACAGAGGCCGTGTGGTCCTTGGAGCATGGGACAGGGTCACCATTGCAACCCCTCATGCTACACCAGTGGTTGGGGTGGTGTGGTAAAACACGTCTCAACTATGGGGTTTTACTGCAACCGCAAATGTAAACGAGTCCTTACTGTCCTAAGCCTCTTATAAGGCTGCTTTTACACTGATGTGCTGCGGTTTACCAGCACCGTGGGTGCAGTGCAGTGCACCTGCCGCTTTCCTTCTCTTTGCCATAGACTTCTAATATAACTTGCAGGTGTGGTGCACTCTATAAAAGCACACCAAAACTCCTGCATTCAGGAGCTTTGCAGCACTTTCAGAAAGCACACCAAACACACAGGATTTAATAGAAGTTTATAGTTCAGTGCAGCTAACCCACAGGAAAGCCGTCTGTGCACTGCACTGTACACGCAAATCAGTGAGAAAGTGGCCTAAAAGTTAACCCTTTTATAGGTGCTAATATTCCCATTGCAAAAGTGCGGTGTATGTGTTGTTTCCTTTTCCAGCTTCTGCTGCCATCTTTCTCCAGGCTGCTAGAAAAGTCCCAGGCACAGAGCACTTGGTATCACTATGCCTAGGACAGGAGCAAGCGCTTACAGAACATTGGCTTATGTTTTCCTGCTCCCTGCATGGCTCCCTGCTTTCTCCACTGCCAGCACTGGCTCAGTGAATGCACTCTGATATTCTGGAATGGCAGGTTGGCAAACCTAGATTGCAATCAATGGGTTGCTGACCTGGGCATAAGCTTCCCTGGTGGGGACACAGGTTGGGCACCCCTGCTCTAGTCTATATTTGTCAAGCCTTTGGTCAAGACCACCATATATGGAGCATATCACCCTTTTCCCGATATCCCCTTAAACACGATAAGAATACATTGAGATATATTTCGCTATTCTTGGTGTGGTAAAATACAGTGCCATTTATTTTAAATGAAACCCCAACACACTAAAGGGACACACGTGCACTGCAGTGTCCTCCAACACTCTTCTGTGTACTGTGAATGGCACCCTGATGCACCTTCAAAATGCACATACACTGCAAAGAACCACAGCACAACACATGGTGTCATAAGCATTGTGCTGAAATAAAATGCAGATATCACCTATTTACAGTAGCATCACACAGACCAAAGATAGCAGGAAAATAGTTATTAAATAGTATTAAGCTATGAAAAAGTTCAGGACTGCCCCAAGGTTGCATGGTTTTAATGAATACATAACTGCATTAACTGTTTTTTTATGTTGGGTGAAATGAGTGAAATGTTGGGTAGGAAGTGGGTGGTGAATTGCTGTAGTCTAACAAAAAAAAAAAAACACAGGCTAGTTGTACCGAAATCGATCAATAGAACAACTTCAGCAAACCAGCCTGCTTATAGATGGATCGGGTTCTGCTCTTACCCATCACTAAGGTCCTAAGGAATGGCAACCAACCCAGTCCTTATGCACAAAGTGAATTTTAGCCAGTTCCTGATTAACTGGATGAAATCTTAGCCATGGGTGGCCTGTTCCACCGGGAAAATTGTTTGGAAGAGTGTATGGATAGCCTAAGATCTAATGCATATGGACAGTGAGAGGCTGCAAATAAGTCCAGCATAAAGTACAAGCAGGGCCATCTTTAATATTGATTGGGCCCTGGGCAAACACTTTATTGGCCCCCCCATGCAATTTTGCTCTGCACCCCAACATCCCAAAAAACAAAAATACACATAGACCTCCCCACATACTACCCCCATCTTTACACAGGACCCCCTCCTCCATGCTACCCTCATGATTACACAGGACCCCCTCCCCCATACTACCCTCATCATTACACAGGACCCCTCCCCCATACTATCCCATCATTACACAGGACACCCTCCCCCATGCCACCCCCATCATTACACAGGACCCCCTCCCCCATGCCACCCCCATCATTACACAGGACCCCCTCCCCCATACTACCCCCATCATTACACAGGACCCCACTGTGAATGGGATGGATTACAAATCCTGTCTTCCACTGCAGCAGACGTCTTGCAGTTCTCAATGAACTGTGGGGGTGCTGACACTTCCTACAGCTTTCAAACAGAACATCTGTACAGAGCTATGGGTAGAAAGCTGTGGCAGTGTCTGCAGGAGCCTGCTGAATGGTGGCATTAGAAGTAGGGAGAATTAGGTATTCCTGCCCTGTAAGGGAGGTCTGGGCATTGTAGCAGAGCTGTGTAAATCCCAAAACTGGATAGGCAGACAAATCCTTTGGCAGGTAAAACAACTACCTGATCTGAATTTCACCTCTGTATCTAGCATTTTGGCTTGAGTTCAACTTTATTGTGATGTAATGCAGACCCAAAAAAATGATGCGCAGCAGCATTTAACCCACATTTAGTGAAGTCAGGGCACCTGCAGGGAGGGGGGGGGGGTGTAATTTCCCTGGCCACAGTTTGCAGTACCACTGCACAAAATGGCTCTCATATGTCGCTACCTCAACCCAGAATATAGGACCACCCAATAGGAGGACAGAAGAGAGCAATACTGCTCATTACCTGACCAGCCACAAAGCAGATTGGAAAAAAGGCAGGTCTACTACAAATGTGCTGCTGATGAGACTTTTGTGAGGGAGAAATTGAGTTTTTAACAGAGAAGATGGGGAGGAGAAAATCTATAATGGGAACTATGTTCCTCAGGCAGGCTCTCTTGTTATGCTCACAGGCCACCCACCTCCTATTCCAGGCACTAAGAGACATGGAGAAATGGGAACATACTCCTACTATACTCGTACCCAGCTAGAATGCACTACAATTCCTGTAATTCCACAAAAAAAAAAGCAATGCAGAAAGAACATACACTAGAAGCCCACCAAAGTCCTATTTAATATATATATATATATATATATACACACATACATATATATATATATATATATATATATATATATATATATACATATATAACACACACACACACACACACATACAGTATCTCACAGAAGTGAGTACGCCCCTCACATTTTTGTAAATATTGAATTATATCTTTTCATGTGACAACACTGAAGAAATGACACTTTGCTACAATGTAAAGTAGTGAGTGTACAGCTTGTATAACAGTGTAAATTTGCTGTCCCCTCAAAATAACTCAACACATAGCCAATAATGTCTAAGCCGCTGGCAACAAAAGTGAGTACACCCCTAAGTTAAAATGTCCACATTTGGTCC